GGTCTAACATGGAATCTGATTCCCCTCCCCACCTGCTCTCCTGCACAACTCCTGTGCTGTACCTTGGGGATGCTGTACCTTGTGTTTGTTTGGAGGAGGCTGCTCAGGGGGGTTTCTGTGGCGTCACCCTGAAGTTGTGATGCTGTGTAACATTTATCCTGCTCTGCTCCCTCTCTGTCCCAGTTCATGAACTGGCAGGGTCTTTCCTCTGGACTGGATGAGATGAGATGGAGGAAAGAGGAAGATTTGTACCATGGCATGTTGCAATATGTGCATTTATAAATTTTATCTTCGTAGCAAGTGATAAATTGTGTTCCGGATAAAACAGAAACATCTTGGGGTTCAAATGGATTGAAATATTTTTTGCTATAATAAATCTGTATTTACTATCGGGTTTTATTATATTTTCTTACAGATATTTTCTCTCAGATATCAGATTCCAACGGACTAATGATATTTACCAAGTTTGACCAGTTTCTGAAGGAAGTTCTGAAACTCCCAACAGCCGTGTTTGAGGGGCCTTCCTTTGGGTACACGGAGCACTCCGTACGGACCTGCTTCCCACAGCAGGTGAGAGTTCCCAGCCAGGGCTTGGAATTCCTGCTTCATCAGGTCCATGGCCTGGAGAGGTTGGGAGGGTGGGGGTTTAAGCAGTTTTAAGACAACCTAAAGTAGGCAATTAGAGGATTTTCCACCATTGTGGTTGATTCCCCTCCTTGAAGTCACACCTGGGTTCCCCACCAGAGCAGCAGGGATGAGCCATTTCTTTTCCAGACCATGAAACACGGCGTTTTTACTATTTTCTTTGGATTTTTTTAAAGCTTCTTCACAGTTTGTTTCAAGAGTCAATTCCTTGTTGGCCGAGTCTGCACCAAATAAACACCTTCTTTACATACAGTTTATTTTTAAGTCGATTTCAGTTGTAATTTAGTTGTTCCAGTGATTTGTTTCTCATTTGAGATAATGTAAATAGTATTTAACTCAACTGTAAACATGAACCTGGATGTGATCTTAAGCCTCAGATTAAATGTTTAGACTCTGGGCATGATGTTTCTGATGTTCCAGCAGAAATATTTCTGCAGTATTTAGGTGTAAAATGTGTAGTCACTAAATACGAGTTAATTAGCAATTAGTGTATTTGGGATATGACACAGTGGGAAACAACCTTTGATTTCAGAACCGATGAGGCTCCAAATTTACATTGGATATTGGGAAGGAATTCCTCCCTGGGAGGGTGGGCAGGCCCTGGCACAGGCTGTCCAGAGGAGCTGTGGCTGCCCCTGGATCCCTGGGAGTGTCCCAGGCCAGGTTGGACGGGGCTTGGAGCAGCCTGGGCTGGTGGGAGGTGTCCCTGCCCATGGCAGGGGGTGGCACTGGATGAGCTTTAAGGGCCCTTCCCACCCAGCCCAGTCTGAAGTTCCAGGATTCTAAGACAGTCTGTGAAATGTTCCTGGCAGGCACAAGTTGTGCCACAGAGAAATTTTAAGGCTGAAGTAGTTTCTGGTGTATAAAATCAGAATTTTTCTATATAATCAAGTTCTCTCACTCTTTTCTTTGCAGAAGAAGATCATGCTAAACATGTTCTTGGACACGCTGATGGCTGATCCTCCTCCCCAGTGCCTTGTGTGGCTCCCTCTCATGCACAGACTCGCCCATGTTGAAAATGGTAAATGGGATATACAAGTAAAACCCCAAAAAACTCTGCAGCCACGCCAAAGAGCTCCCACCTCTTTGGTTTCCTTCTTGCTGGCAGGTGCCTTGCCCCTGATCTAATATTCCTGATGCTGGTTGTTGCAGTCTCCTCTTTACCCACAGTTCTTTAGCAGGACATGGGGTGCTGTCCCTGGGGTTGTTGTGCCTCTGGTTTTATTTTAGCAGAATGTGTAACTGCATTACCAGATCCCCCTGTCAGTGTTTGGACTCTTTGGCTCAGGACACTGTGGTGGTTTTGTCCCCTTTTATCAGTAGGAATCTCTGCTGACTGCAGGAGCCAGGGAGGGGAAGGGACAGTTTTGAAAAGGTGGGGGAGAACTTATGGAGCCAGGCTGGGAGAGCTGGGGGACCTCACCTGGAGAAGAGAAGGATCCAGGGAGACCTTGGAGCCCCTTCCAGAGCCTGCAGGGGCTCCAGGAGAGCTGGAGAGGGACTGGGGACAAGGAATGGAGGGACAGGACACAGGGAATGGCTTCCCACTGCCAGAGGGCAGGGAGAGATGGGAGATTGGGAAGGCTGGGAGGGTGGGGAGGCCCTGGTTCTGGTTCTGTTCCCTGTCCCTCACCTCTCAGGATGCATTTCCTGTGGTAAGGTGTATTCTCCTTCATCTCATTCTCACCTTCATCTTTGGTTTCTTCCGCTCAAAATCCTGCCCTGAATAACAAGTGGGGAAGGACCTGGGGGTAGTTTGGAAGCTGCAGCGAAATGGGTTTTCCTAAATTTGACTTGATACCTTTTTTCTCTTTGTTTTTTCCCCCTCCTGCCAGTCTTCCACCCCGTGGAGTGCTCGTACTGCCACTGTGAGAGCATGATGGGATTCCGGTACCGGTGCCAGCAGTGCCACAACTACCAGCTCTGCCAGAACTGCTTCTGGAGAGGCCACGCCAGCGGCCCCCACAGCAACCAGCACCAGATGAAGGAGCACTCCTCCTGGGTAACTGGGGCTGGAACGGCCTCCCCCTGCTAACTCCTTCTGGAAGTTACAGCTTTTAGCCTAGAAATCCTCAGGGGGGCTTTCCAAGTTCTCCAAAGAGCAGAAGTGCACGGATGGGAACAGCACTGGGGTTATTGTTTGTTCTTCACTGGGTTAAACCTGGCTGATGGCCCAGGGAGAGGTGGGGAGTGGAGTCCCACCCAGCTGGGAATGGGCTCCAGTGGGTTCCACAGGGATCAGCGCTGGGACCAGACCTGTTTAACATCTTTATTGATGAACTGGACGAGGGGATCGAGGGCACCTCAGTCAGGTCAGGGATGACACCGGGGTGGGTGGGATGTGGATCTGCTGGAGGGCAGGAAGGTCCTGCAGAGGGATCAGGACAGGCTGGATCCGTGGGCTGAGGTCAGTGGTGTGAGGGTCAACCAGGCCAAGTGCCAGGTCCTGCCCCTGGGTCACAACAACCCCCTGGGACATTCCAGGCTGGGACAGAGGGCCCTGGCACAGCTGCCCAGGGAGGTTTGGGGTGCCCAGCCCTGGAGGTGTCCCAGGCAGGCCTGGCCGTGGCACTCAGTGCTCTGGGCTGGGGGACAGGGTGGGGATGGGGCACAGGGGGGATCCACGGGCTGGGAGGGCTTTTCCAACCCAAACAATTCTGTGATTCTCTTACCCATAACGTGGATTTGCTGATTGTTGTCCCTGGGCTCAGGTGCTGCTGAGGGCACCATCCTCAACAGTGGCACCTTTAAAGACAGTATTTCTGCAAGAGAAAAACATATTATTGTCATTCTCCTGCCAGGTATAAATATATATGCTTGGAAAACTCTTAATTAAAAAAGCCTTAAAGAAATCACCTGAGCAATAACATGCAGTTTGAAAATCACAGCTCAAGAAATAATGGATAGTTTTATGTAGAAAAACCTATTCTGTGGTAAAAGATTAAAGCCAGCCTTTTACTTACTCAAAGAGAAGTTCAGATGGTGATTGGATTGTAATTAGTAATTATCTCCATGAGAAGGTGCCATTATAGCAGTGCTGTTAAATTTAGAAAATTGGGGCTGGATCCCAGTCCAGAGTTGGGAGGCAAAGGAAAATTTAGTCTTAAATATTGTTCTTTTTATAACTCTGTGGGTATTAAACTTGTGGAATGTTTAATCTGAGCTAAGAGTAGGTTATTATCCCCTTAAGTGTATATAAATCCAGTCTGGGGGTTTGAATATAAAGATGTATCTAAGTCATAAAATTCCAGACTGGTTTGGGTGGGAAGGGACCTTCAAGCTCATCAACTGAGCATGGAAGAGGAGCCTCTGAGAGAGAGATCTCTTACATATTAATTTCTTTTAATTTTTTTTTTCAACTTCTGCAAGTCTTCTGTGTTAAATTTATGATAATTGAAAAAGAATTTTAATTTAAAAACCATATTCTAGTTTTGGATTTGGACTGTACTGCTGGTTCAGTGACTTCCTTGTGTGTTTGCTCAACAATAATTCCTCGAGTGAAAGCCCAAATGCTCCAGCTGAGCAGGTGCTCTGGTCCAGGCAAACAAGAGATTTGCTTTTCCCAGGTTTTCAGTGCCAGCCAGAACTAGTTCAGTCCTGCCTGGTGTATTTTCAGAGTTTTGGAGCCATATGAGCCAGAATAAGCATTAATAATAAGCACCTCATACTTATTATTAGTGCTATTATTAACATACTTATTAGTAATTATGCTTATTGTTAATGTTATTATTAATACACTTATTATTATAGGTTCTTTTTTTTCTGAAATTCTGAACTGCCTTTGGTAGTTTTTTCATACTGTAAATCACATAGTATAGGGATTTTAATACATATAAATATATATATTGCTCCAGTGAGCATATTAAAATCTATTACTATAGTGATTTTTTATTTATAACTTCAGGGAGAAACCTGTTTTTGAGAGAGGTTTTAGTGCACGAAAATGCTGCTTGTTGGGGCCTGTTTGGGGGGGATAAAAACCTTCAAACACTTTCCAAATGTTTCCTGTTGGGCCTTTTCAGTTTTGGTTTTACTGAACAGCCCTGGACACAGCTCAGTGTGTTCCGTGCATGCAGCAGAACTGAAAATCCAGCTGTTCATTTTGAAAGCCTGGGGGGATTAGCCAGAACTCATTCTGGCTGGGGGTTTTGGGTCAGTTTGCTGAGCTTAAGCAATCTGTCAGCAGTAAATTTCAGGTTAATGAAAAATATTATCAATGTTATTTAAAATTTAATATATTTATATAATAAATATATAATATATTTATAGATGTATATAAATATATTAACATTAACATATTAATAATAAACAAATATAATAATAAATATATTAATATTAATAGAAATACAAATCTATTTATATAAATATATATAGTATATTTATATAAATATATATAGTATATTTATATAAATAAATATTTAACATTTAAAATATTATAATTAAATTACCTGGGTTACCCCAATTTGTGCCTGGGGTGTGGTTTGGGGGAGTTTCTCAGCTGTAGGCAGGTCAGGATGCTCCTCTTGCTGTAAATAATGGAGTGTTTGTGACTTAAAACCACCGTAACTGGTGGCTTTGGATCACAGATCAACAAATCAAAGGCGTGTTCAGATGTTCCTGGGGTGAGGATGGCTCTGGCTTCCCGTGGGGAGTCCTTGCAGGGGAATGTGACGGGATCTAAACCAAGGACAGCCCCTTGTGCCTCCCCGGCGATGCCGTGGGAGCTGCTGATGAGGTTTTGCTCGGGGAATCGTGTCTTCCGTGTTTCTGGCTCATTTCATTTCCCATTTAGAACACCCTTGAAATGATTAAACCTTTCTGAAGCTGTTTGTGGCCAGCCCTGGCTGCGGGACGGCCATCCCGGTGTCCCACTCAGATCCCACTCGGATCCCACTCGGATCCCACTCGGATCCCGGGGCGCTCCCTGCACGTTCCCGGCTGTGTGCGGGGCCCGGCACGTGAGCCCCGATCCCAAATGACCTGGAAATCCCTTCCTAGCGCGGGTTCCCAGCAGAGGGCACACACAGACCGGGAATGGCCGGGTGGTGTCAGTCACAGCAACCCCCCCTGCAACAGGGAACAGGGCCAGGAGGAGAGGGAACGGCCTCCAGCTGGGCCAGGGGAGGGGCAGGGGGGACAGCAGGAGGAATTTGTCCCTGGCAAGGGTGGTCAGGCACTGGCAGGGGCTGCCCAGGGAGGTTTGGAGTGCCCAGCCCAGAGGGATTTAGGTTTGTTGATTCCTTAAACCCTTATGGTGGCAAACATTTCCCATGAGTGTTGTTATTCTGTACAGGATGAAAAAAGAAGCGGAAACTGTTTCTTTTGAATATTTATTGATATGTTTGGGCAAAGGGTGAGAGTCCTCGACTGGTAGGTCTCAATATATAAAAGGCTGAGAATTTGATGAAGAAAGGATTTCAGAAAGCTGGCAAAGTTTATAAAAATCACAGAATCATGAAGTTGTGAAGGTTGGAAACGATCTCCAAGATAATCAAGTTCAGCACTGCCAAGGCCACACTGACCCAGGTCCCCACGTGCCACATCCACACGGCTTTTAAATCCCTCCAGGGGTGGGGACTCGACCCCTGCCCTGGGCAGCTGTGCCAGGGCTGGACAGGAATTGTTCCCAGTGTCCAGAGTGGCCCTCCCCTGGTGCTGGGGAGCAGGAGGTGTCCTTGGTGCTGCCCTGCTGGCACGATGCTGGAGCTAAACTGACACAGGAATCTCCCAAACCTCTTGGAACCTTTCATGGATGCCTCAGCAGCTGGAGAGTCAGTGAAGGGGGAAGGAGCTGCTGTGTGAGCTCACATCTTGGAGGGAGCCCAAAGCCAGGGGTGCCCGGGCCCAGGGAGGGTGCAGGGGCCTCGTGTCCGTGTTGCATTTTTTTTTGTGCCTGGTTTTTCTTGGTTCCATCACTCTGATGGAAGGGCCACAGCGCTGCAGACCCTGCTGAGTCACGGGCTGTGCCATTCCAGGGGAGGAATCCGGGATGGATCCCCTGCCAGGCGTTCCCAGGGGAAGGGGCTGGGGTGGAGCAGCCGAGCTGGCTGCGTCCCACATCGCCAGAAGGGAATGGGAAGGGGTTGGGAGCCTCTGAAAATAAAGTCACACCAATCTGCTCTGCCATGGGGAGCTGAAGATAAATAAGAACATAAATTGGACTCCTGAAAGCTCTTTCAAAAAGTCTGAAATTGTTAATTAGTGTTAAGAGAATCACAGAGTGGTTTGGGTTAGGAGGGACCTTCAAGCTCATCCAGTGCCACCCCCTGCCATGGGCAGGGACACCTTCCACCAGCCCAGGGTGCTCCAAGCCCCGTCCAACCTGGCCTGGGACACTCCAGGGATCCAGGGGCAGCCACAGCTTCTCTGGGCACCCTGTGCCAGGGCCTGCCCACCCTCACAGCTCCCGTAATCATGGAATCATTAAGGCTGGAAAAGACCATTCCCAGGACTCCCACAGCCCTGCTAGGAGCTTGGTGGATACAATAACACTTTGAGACTTAACTTTGTAAAAGTCAATACGGGATTTAAACCATGTTTTGCACATCTAACTCAGAGCAGGTCACCATTCCTGTGGGTCTGGCAGCACCTCTGGAACCTTTCACCGTTCCTGAGGATCTGGGATCATTGTTCCTGTGAGGTCATTCAACAGAATGAATCTGTGAAAGGAAATAAAGAAACTGGTCATTCCTATCTGTCCTAACACTGTGTTCCACCTTGGCTTTGCCCATGATGGACAGAAAATTGGGAAGTGACCTGCTCCTGTCCTGCTCCTCCCCTCTGAACACAACATCTGTGTTCAGAGGGCCTCGAAAGGGAGTGAAAAAAATCCCTTAATGGGATGTGATTGTCCCTTGCTTTAATTCCTGAGAGAACCCCCAGATAATTGGTTTATTTCTTAATCTC